GTTTTAATGTAAATACATCTGTTGACAATGGAATATATAATGCACTTAAAATGAACGTTTAAACAAGTAATATAACTGAAATGGATAGAATTATCATAATAATGCCTGCATGCTATCAGAAATCTGAAGGCCACTGTAACTTGGTAGCAGACCGCTCTTTCCTAACGACGGGCTGCTATCTATTATATTGGTATGTGTGTCATTGGCGTCACGTTTCTTGTTTGTGACGTCATCTATTTCATGTTCTATGATGTAGCTATTTGTAAATCAGTGACCTCCGCTGTGAGGTTTGTTTCTCCATGATTCTTTTTAACAAAATCACGAACGTGGTGTCTTTAAAAGATAATGTCTTTGCTACCAAAATGATATTAACATACAAAACAGTGTCGAATACCGAATTTCTGTACCAGAATTTCTATGTGATATATTTTGAGGTGAGTATGTGAAAATCCAAAATGGCTATAACCGACGGTATTCGGTCTCATATTAGGTCAATAAGAACCATCTTGGATTTTTACTGACGGTATATGGGCTCAAATAGGGGCACTAGTTCTGCTGTCTGATTGGTCAATCTCACTTTGAGGCATAATAAGGTCTGTTTCACATCAACAGCAGAAGGCAGTGTGGTCTGTTTCTAATCAGCAGCAGAAAGTAATTGGGTCTGTCTCATCAGCAGCAGAAGATAAAAGAGTCAGTTTCACATCAACAGCAGAGTGATAATAGAGTGAGTGTGCGTTGATTTTATGCTGCCTTTCCCAATATTTTGCAACATTCCGCAACATCAAGAAATGGGCTTCACACATTGTACCCACAGGGCAAATCAAACCCGGTTGTTTGATTGTGTCACATCATGTACATACATATAGAGATCGAATGTATCACTTTTTACATACACAGTACTACATCCACAACATATACAGTGGAAAGATGCGAAGTACTTTTAGACAATAGGAACAATATTTACACTGGAAAGATACAAAGTGATGTTATATAATAGAAACAATATGCACAATGGAAAGATACAAAATACTGTTAGATGATAGAAACAATAATTATATGCAATGAAAAGATACATACTTTTTCAAGTGCAGACGCTCTGTCCGCGGAGGCGGTCCCTGATTACAGAATATACATGTGTCAATGTCTGCAATCAAACTTTTTAATCCGGACGGTACCGGTTCCAATGAAATTGTTGGAATCTACAAATGTCCAGATAACTGGGTTAACAACTAGGGGTAACGACTAATTATATACAGATGCTGTTGCTGATCAACAGGTCACAGCTTGACAAGGATGAATCTACTTCCATCGAACACCCGAATCGTTATATATGTAGCTTCGAACATGATTTATTTGTTTATTTGTAGTTTAAAGCCACACTCAGCAATATTCCAACTATATGACGGTGGTAAATAATCGAGTCTGAACTAGACGATCCAGTAATTGACATCATGAGCGTCGATCCATGCAATTGGGATACGACAATCAACCAAATCACCGAGTCTGACCAACTGACCCCGATAGTCGCCTCTTTAAACATGGATTGCTGAAGACATTCGTATTTCACGGGTCTGGAAATTGTCATCCCCGATCGTAGAATATGTAACTTGAAACTTGGTAGTTATACACCCATTGTTACTTATGTAGCTTGGAACTTGGAACATATGTATATTGGAACTTGGTATTCGCATCCGTGTCGTTAGATCTGTAGCTCAGTGCTGGAAAGACACACCCTGATTGTTATTTATGTAGCTTGCAGCTTGGTTGTCACACATTAATCGTTACATGTGTAGCTTGAAACTTGCTCGTCATTCGTGTTCCACTGTCATTTTCCCACTTTCATAATCTGAAACAAGATGCACAGTAGGGGATGTAAACATTTATACGACCGCCTCAATATGGTCTTGGATGTCAGGAATGGTTGCACAGTCTAGTAGATACTGCGTCTGACCGGGGAGAGTTGTTCGGTCCAAGGAAGATTTATACAAAAAAACCTTAAAAGATGCTACTTCGTGTTATGCTGTCTGGTGTTCGGCATTTAAGGGATAAACCAAGAACTTTTCGGCTCAGACTCATCTTTTATACTGTGTCTGAGTGGGGTGTCAATGTTAAACTGTGGCCAGGTGTCTCAGTGGGCTAGCACCATAAAAACGGCGGCATTCGTCCGGACCAGTAATAGCAGCCACATACATACACACACGCGCGCACGCACGCATGTACATGCATGTTACTATATAAATGCAATAATGTTGCATTTCGCGTCGCTCAGCCAGGAAAGGTTGACAAGCAGTATGAACATGCCATTGCCCCTGAAATGGGTTTAATGAAACTACATGTGTTTCACGCATAACATAATTACCTTCACAAACTCCACCGGCCCCTTGATTTTGGTAGACGGATTCCTTTTCAACCATACCAACCAGCTCTACAAAAAAATAAATCAATATTAGGTTTTGCCAAGTGAAGTTTTATACATAATGAAAGACGAGGCTTTCACGATCATTGAAAATTAGACATAGGCATTGACATGGCCATATTTAACATAAGTCAAACAAACTAGCTACTCGCTTTTTGTATAGAGACAATAATACAGAGCATACAAAAAACCCGTGTGTATTAAAATGCTGCCCCAATCAAGGCTCCTTGGAGACTTAGAATCTCTCCATAGAAACATATATTGGTCGTAAGAGGTGACTAAATGGATCTGGTGGTCATCTTCGGTGACAAGGTTGATGGCGTGTTAACGTATCCCAACGGCGTGTACCGTTGCTAGTAATATCATTAACTGAATTGTCTGGTCCAGGTTCGATTATTTACAGGCCGCCAGCATATGGCTTGATTATTGAGATGTCAAAGACCACAAGAACCCCTTACCCCTACCACCAACCCATCCCCGCCTGGGTGAAGCCTTAAACAATATCTCGATATAAACAAATTATGGTAACAACCTTTATCGCTGTTTGCCATGTCCAGTTTCTCATATTCGTTATTCTGAGGGGCGTGCTCATCAAGGCTTGCATAGGCTCCATCTTCAAAAAAAATAATTGAACGCATCAGTAAGATATGATTATCGTGACATTACTTAAATGTAACATATCATGACCATGCAGAGTAATACATATAATACTAATTAATGTCCAGTAATGTCTGCATAGAAATGGTATGTGATTCGTTCGATAATATTAGAAAACTGCCGTTCTGAAACACATTTCAATCTAATCATTGCTAATGTCAACATGTGCTATTCAAGCTGCATATATGTGTACTTAACAGAGATTAGCAGGATGTATTACAATTAAAAAACCTAATCCATATATAATTGTTAAAAGCGAATATTGTGAAGTTGTGAGTGATCACTGATTTCTTCTGGAACACGTTTAAGTTTAATAACTGATGATGTCCACGGGTGCCATTTAACCTGCTTATATTTTTGTGTTTTAAATGATTAAAAAGGATTTATTACCATTTCCAAACCTCAAGTATAGTTGAATTACTGAATGCAATGTCACCTCACAATAACGCTGCGTGTAATCTGGCGCAGTATATGTTTATAATGAGATGACAGACCAACAATCTAACTTTTGCGTCTGCAGTGTTATATGTTGGACATTGATGAAGTTACCTTGGTTTGGTGTGCTGTGTCTAGAACAAACCAACAAATGTAACGTTAGAAAACATCATTAGTTCAATACACTTCACATAGACAACCAAAATATCAAATCTCATAAAACAAATATTTGAAGAAAATGCTGTCGGTGATTGTTGAAAAGGGATCTACGCCCACTGAAAAGCGATTTTGACAGGAGTTTGTCCAATTTGGTGAGAATGTTGTACGCGCATATATTTGATGATCTGACGTAGCATCTGATGTTTTGGCGGATACTGGAGTCTGATAATTCTCTGTCGTTGACGCTTTCTATTTCTTTGATTAATTGACTGAGACAGATATTGTGCATCTTACCCTTGTGACTGTATTTCGATGGTTTCTGTTTGATCTGTAAATGGAGTATTGGTCCTGACATAAATGCATGTAATCCTAAATCAATATATGTAACATTAACATAAAACTATATCTGTAACTATATCTATAACTGCATGGTTTCCAATGTCTCCTTCGTAAGTAGGAATATTTCCAAAAGTTTAAACTTACAAAACACGTATATCCTTAAGTCATCGCGTATTATTAAACGGCTGGAAAGTCTAAAGTAACACGTGGCTAAAATACGTCACAATGGAATATACCCTTCTGCACATGTACCTCGCAAAACAAACAGTTGAGTAAACATTGTATTGCTCTGCACTGTCCACCTGTGACGCAGAGCCTACACTCAGCCATTTCTTCAATTGCTACCTTTAACACTACTGTAAAGTAACTACTGTAAAGCATGAACGTTTCTGCTCAAAGAAACACATATGGCTACAAGTCATATAATTACCTGTGTTAACCTTTTCAATGTGTTCATGGTTTCGTCGCCACATCAATACAATGATAACAACTAAGACAAGTACCACAGGCAGCGAAACTCCAACTCCAATTCCAATCCCTTGTCCGAGTCGATCTGGTTGTGACTGACCAGTAGCACTGGCTGGAACAGTGGGGTGACATGTGCATAAACAATTCCAAAAATAGACATATATTGGTTCAAATAGGCGGTAGCCAAAGGCTGATACTCAGCACACCCAAATTCATGTGTGTTTCGTTAATGTTTATAACATATATAGACTGTGGAAATGTGCTTTGCTGCTATACTTACACTACACTTGAATATGGACATTTTGAACTGGAGACTAACGTATACATTATAGTCCTGTTAAGACAATGTGGACTACAGATATTGCAATGTAGTAATTACTCACACTGTACATTGATGTTGACCTTGGCCGTATCCGACAGTCCTGCATTGTTGGTGGCAGTACAGGTGTACATCCCTCCCTGGTTCCTTTTGACAAGCCTGTCTAGTACAGCCCCATCCTTGCTGTACTCTCCTGGACCTGTCCACCTGAAGCGTGTTGTTGAGGGGTTGCCGGGTGTGATGTTACTGCTGCAGTCTATGTCAGGACTGGCATTCTCTATCACGTTGTTATTAGGAGGCAGATCGGCTATTACTGGAGCATCTGCGTAGTGATAGCTATTAGTTTGTTTTTGTATACATAAATCATCACGGACAGAGAATAATGGACCTGGATTATCCTCTGAAATAGATTTCATTGGGCTTGAAAGGCAAAATAGTGGTGAAAATAGCATGAATATACTGCTTAAAATCAGTGATAACACCAGGTGTTCGCGAAAAGGGTAAGCACCGACCTCTGTACGTGAACTCTGCCATCAACGCAAAAGGAGACACATGTTCCCTGTGCCTGTTGCAGTGGGGTCAAGCTTGTAGTAAAGAGGAACTCGGCTAGGGCAGATTGGTAGACCAAGAAGAATCCAGTGGTTTAATTAAACACCACTCTATTGGTCTTCGAGCTCAAAATGTATGATATTTATCAGTTTTAAGAATCTCACAGTTTGATTTAGACAAACGGCAAGTGCTATACTTGAACAGATGTGAGTGAATGCTGTAACAACCAGGCTACCCCATGATGAGGTACAGAAGCTGATGACAACAAAACCTCGACTGTCCTGAATATTTCCATGAGAACTGCACAATGCTGCTAAACATTGTAAACGCATAGCCCATTTTCAATTAAAGTTGATGGGGCACTAAATGTATTCAAAACATGCTTATACATTGTTAGAGGTTGTGATACTGACACTGCACATTGATGTTGGCCTGGGCCGTATCCGACAGTCCTGCAGTGTTGGTGGCAGTACAGGTGTACATCCCTCCCTGGTTCCTGTTGACAAGCCTGTCTAGTACAGCCCCATCCTTGCTGTACTCTCCTGGACCTGTCCACCTGTAGCGTGTTGTTGAGGGGTTGCCGGGTGTGATGTTACTGCTGCAGTCTATGTCAGGTCTAGCGTTCTCTATCACGTTCTTGTTGGTAGGTACGGTGGTTATTGCTGGGGCGTCTGGTGGAAATAGATTTCACATCATTGGATTAAAAATCCCACCAATACCAGAGAATAAACTGTCTCGGTCATTTTGAAACCTACTCAATTATTAATGCTAATGTTAATGCATAGGAAAATGTTACTAGGTACATGTAAGAATAAAAAGAGATACTGCTACCACCAATGGCTTTGGATCATTTTTCTCAGGTGTTTGAAAACCCACACCATAATATACTGAACCAAATTAAAAACTTCACAATCCTAAAATTTTAACATTTTGACCAGTTACCATTGTGGGCCCTTATTGTGTATTTAAACAGTAATGGCCACGTATTGTCTTCAGATAACACCCGTTTTTGTGCATGTGAATCAATCAAAATCTTGTGCACAGCACTATAGTGACAAAAGTGTTTTTTCACGTGCAACTGGTCACGTGGCCATAATACCGCATGTGTTTTCAGACATACTTGTTAGCAGTCATTAAGAAAAAATGAAAAACACAAGAAAACAAAAGTCTTTACGGCCATTTGTCATGCCACGCCTTTCAAATGTGCAACGTGAAAGTGCCATCGGCATGTTGCAGACGGGAACGTCAGTAGCTGAAGTCGCAAGGACGATGGGTTGTAGTCGACGGACTGTTTATGATTTACAGACGCGTCTACAGCAAACGGGTACCACCGCTGATCGCCCTCGGCCAGGTCGATCACGTGTGACGTCACATGCAGAGGATCGTCAGATTGTCTTACGTCACCTCCGTAACCGATTTTTGACGGCTACATCAATCAGAAATGAACTGTTTAGGGGTAGACTGAGTGCGCAAACTGTTCGAAACCGTCTGAGAACTGCTCACCTTCAAGCACGACGGCCATACTGCGGGCCGATTCTGACGTCAATTGTGGGCACAGCGACACTTACGATGGACTCAGAGGAATTGGAATCAAGTTGTCTTCAGTGATGAATCCCGATTTAATCTTCGATTTGCTGATGGTAGGGCGAGAGTGTGGAGGTGCCGTCATGAACGTTACGCCCAGTGTTGTGTACAGGAAGTTGACAGATTTCGAGGCGGAAGTGTGATGGTGTGGGGTGCTTTCTGTGGCAATTCACGTTCCAGGCTTCTTGTCATCCGTGGCAACCTCAACGCTGCTGCTTACCGCGACCAGGTACTGGCACCAGAACTTCTGCCTTTTATGGCAGCTCATGGACCCGGTTTGATCTTCCAACACGACGATGCCAGACTCCACACAGCAATTTTGACAAGGAATTTCCTTCAGAATGCGGGAGTCAACGTCATGGACTGGCCGTCAAGGCCTCCCGACCTCAATCCCATCGAACACGTCTGGGATGCTCTTGGCAGAAGTCTGCGCACTCTCCAGAACCAACCACAGAATTTGCAAGATATTGGCACCATTTTGCAGCAACAATGGCGTCGTCTTCCAAAACATGTGTTCACAAGCATCACAAGGTCTATGCGGAAGCGTTGTGTGGCAGTTGTCAACGCACATGGTGGCCATACACGCTACTGAAATTGTGTGCCATCAGATTCTCGTGCTTGGGACTTATGATTTGATTTGATATTCCACAACTTTACAGCCTACAGCCTAAATGCAATTAAAACAGCAGACAGAGGACGATTCTCGGGATTTTTAATTGTGATTGTGAAAAAATCCATCAGTGTCTATGTGAAATGGTCCAGAATTGCAGACAATGCTATATTTTTACCTTTAGAAAAAAGTGCATTTAATCTTGAGAAAGACATTCTTATTTGCTGTGTATATGTCAATCCTCCAGGATCAAGTTGGTTTAATAACAGACAAACTAAGTGTGGTTTGACTTTATTCTTCAACTCACTTATAGAGGTTATCACGCGAGTGTGTTTGGGGATGGTAAATATCCTGCATTAGGAATAAACATTGTATTTAGCGAGCCTTGGCGAGCTAAATACATAGTGTTTATTCCTAATACAGGATATTTACCATCCCCAAACACACAAGCGTGATAACCTCTTTATCATATAATGTCATTCTTTAATTCTGTGCTTTAAAATCGCTTTCCCTCTCTCACAAACATTACCGAAACATTGCGAGTTTTCCTGGAACGGGCGCATTAATATTTATTACGTCACAGGGTAAGTGATGTGTCAGTAGGACTGTGACAGTAGCCAATATAGTTCCAACTGAAATCTGTTTCATATACAGTGGCGAAGCAACTTATACGCAAAACAACAGTTGTTTTTAATTGCCTTTCGTGGCAATCCATCAGTCTGTCCGCTAGAGTAACTGCCCTTTGTCAAAGGGAAGCTACTCTAACCCTAGTCTATGAGTCACGGCCACGGTCAGACGTTGTTGACAGTCGGTCTATCCTTTCATAACGTTAAGAAGTGTAGTCAGATGTACACACAGCGACAAATCGAAACAAGGTAACAGTTCAAACATATTTCGGCCGAATCCAACCATTTTGATTTGTGGAGAAGGTTTCAAGCCACAGAGGTCTACAAGCACAGATATGGCTACTGATCCCGCTTGGCTAGGCCTCGTGCCCTCGCAAAATTGTTTCGAAATTTATATCTCGAAAGTTGCCAAAACTTATAAAATGCCTTAGCTACGTCACGGTTAGACACTGATTTTCAGTATATTAGACTGTTCGTTTGATAATGATAGCAATTATCCCTGTAGTTTATCCAGATTCACGATGGTTAATTCTGACTCGATCGCCGAATGACGAGGGCGACGCCATGTTTATTTATAAACAGTGAAAGTAGTCCTACTTGACCTTTGGTATTTGCATCTCTATCCGCATATGACCCCAACGGATATCGTTTTTATCCGTTGGCTTTATCCTGCCGAGAAACCTACCCATTATATGATAAATAGAAGTTATTGGGTCACTTAACAGAGATATACACATCCTCATAGGCGGGGATTTCAACGCCCGGACTGGGACACTGTCTGATCAAATTGATGATGATATCGCCGAGGTTTAAGGTGACGAGAATATGTCAGTTATGTCTGATATTACCAACATGGATAGAGTGTCATGTGATAACCTTGTAAACAATGCCGGAAAATATCTTGTCAATATGTGTGCCGCTCTCGATATGTCTATTCTAAATGGTCGCTGTGGTACGGATTTAGGTATAGGTGATTATACTGACATCGGTCACTCAGGCTCCAGTGTAATTGACTACATTATTGTATCCAACAATCTATTCTTCCACTGTAACACATTTGATATTGTGTCCAGGGCAGAATCCTCACACCTTCCACTATCTTGTTCATTTCAAGCACGTGATCAGGAGATTCCCGTTGAGACAGCAAGGGCCGCACGTGCGCCTCGTGAAAACTGCCACTATGTGTGGGACATGGCGAAACTACAACAGTTCAGGGATAATCTTGTACTGCCACATGTTGTTGATTGTTTTGAACAATGTACTCTGTTACAACCAGATTATATAGATGGTGCTATTAACTCATTCACGGACACCATTTGTACAGCTGCTCAGTGCATGAAAAGGACTTGTAAGTCTCGCGACAGTCACACACAGCCCTGGTTTGATAGCGTGTGTCGGTACTACAGGTGGGAGAGAGAGAGGTGTCTCAGAATATGTAGACATCTTAAAAATGATAGCACCTTAGTTAGTTATTTAAAATCAAGAAATACTTATACAAGTTTATTTCGTGAAAAGAAAAGTCATAATGAATATATGCGTAATAAGGTTTTATATAGTCTTCTAAATAGTAAATGTTTCTGGTCTACCATAAGAGGATTATCTCAGAGTGTGGCAACTCGTGTACCTAACATATCACTAGAACAATGGGTCGATCATTTTAAAGATGTGTTTGACAATCCAAGAGATGAAGATATGGTTAAAACCGACACGACTATTAATGATAGTCATGATGATATGAGTTGCTAAATTCTGGACTTCCCCATTTCACAAGAGGAGGTGCTATGTGCCATCAACTCTTTGAAAATTGATAAATCCGGAGGAAATGACCACCTCATTTCAGAATTTTTTAAATATGATATTTTAGTCCCGTATCTTACAGTGTTGTTTAATAAGTTGTTTGATAATGCATACTTTCCTGAATCTTGGTCTTTGGGAATTATTGTTCCGATACATAAGCGAGGAGACATCCATTCCCCATCCAACTATAGGGGTATATCAGTCCTTAGTGCGCTGAGTAAGTTGCATGTTTCTATTTTGAACAGAAGGGTCACTTCTTGGTGTGAGGTCTATGGTAAAATTGCAGAGTCCCAGGCTGGTTTTCGTCATGATTACTCCACCATAGATAATATCTTTATATTACAGTGTATTATCGAGAGATATATCAGTAAGCGTTAGGGTAGGGTATATGGTTTGTTTGTCGATTTTGCAAAAGCCTTCGACATTGTAAACTGGATGAAATTATGGTCAGTACTAGCTAATAAAGGTGTAGCTGGCAAAATGATAAAAGCTATACGGTCTCTTTATACAGCTGTTAAGGCCAGTGTTAAATTTAAACATACATTTTCTGAAATGTTTCAGTTTTCAAGAGGAGTACGTCAGGGTTGTGTGTTAAGCCCCCTTTTATCCTCGATGTTTATTAACGGACTAGCTGCTGAAGTTGAACAGATACTGGACCAGGAATACAACTTCATCCTGATATTACAGAGAGTTATTATTTGCAGACGATATTATTTTAATCGCAGATACTATAGGTGGACTTCAGAAGCGTATTGATGTTCTAGAAAAATATTGTAATGATTATGATCTAGATGTCAATTTTGATAAAACCAAGGTGGTTGTTTTTACGAAAGGTGGAGTGTTGTCAAGATAAGAGATTTGGTACTATAAAGGTCTAAAGTTGGAGTGTGTGTCTTCCTATAAATATTTGGGCGTTACTTTCACGAGAAGCCTGTCCTGGTCAAGTCATTTTTCTAATGTTGGTGTACAGGGGGAAAAAGCAATGTTTGGAATTTTAAAGTCATTGATAAAATTACATCCTCTTCGATATGACTTATATTCTAAAATATTTGATATGAAAATAGTCCCAACTTTGCTCTATGGTTCCGAAGTCTGGGTTCTACACCAGAATGATGAAATGGAAACTTTACATACATTGGCATGCAAGCGCTTTTTAGGTGTCAAATCGTCAACACCCAACAACATGGTTCGAGGTGAATGTGGGCGGTATCCATTATATCTTTATGCATACAAAAGAGTTATTGGTTATTGGATAAGGTTATTGAGTATGTCCGATTGTCACTTTCCAAAGAAATCTTATTATATGAGGGTTCAGGCAGAAAGTAATGGTAAAATTAATTGGGTCTCAAAAGGTAAATCTTTATTGTTCGGTTTGGGTTTTGGCTCTGTATGGGAAAACCAGTGTATAAGTCATCCTCATTCGTTTTGGACAGAATTTATGTCGCTTCTGAAATGTAGTTATGAACAGGATTGGCATAGTCTTTTGGTAAAGGGTAGTAAATCTTTCTCTTATTCTCTATTCAAGGTATCGTTTGGTACAGAGTTGTATCTTAGCTGTGTGACCGTCAGTAAATTGAGAGTGGCGCTAGCTCGGTTTAGATGTTTTTTGCATCAGCTGTGTGTTGAAACTGGGAGATATGCTGCTATCCCACGTAACAGAAGACTATGTTGTGTTTGTAAAGCTGGGTATGTGGAGGACGAGTATAATTTTTTGTTAGTTTGCTCCGGTTATAACAAGCTACACGTGGATCACTTACCACAAAATTTTTATGAATATCCGACAATACAAAAATTTAATATCATTATGTCTAAAACTGATTGTAAATTAATTGAACATCTAGCTATCTATATATATCAAGCGATGTCACTTCGTAGTACATTATTGTCACAACAATAACAACTGTGTACATCACGTCCATTGTCATACAAATGGAACCATGGGCCGATGGCCTACACTTACGAAAATAAACCGAATTGAATTGAATTGACTTATGATTTAAACTGTTGATGTTATTACCGAATACCGTAGGTGCTTGGAACAAATTATGGTTACCAGCGTTACCATTAAAATCCTTCTTTGGACATTAATGATTAAAAATTACCTTCTCTGATACATTTGTCCGTTGTATATCATATATGGGATTACTTTTAAAAATGTGAAGTTTTTAATTTGACTCAGTATATAACCAACAAATTTATAAATAACCGACTCTCTTGAATCATTGCAAATTTACATCCGGTACATGCCGTCCCATGTCGGTATAACAATAGTGCTTGAAGGTCGAGGTCATAGAATATGTGTTGTCGATGTTGGGGGGTTGCTGGGTGTGATGTTAATGCTACAGTCTATACCAGGACTGGCGATCTCTATTACTTGTTTGTTTGTGGAGACAGAGGTAATACCTGGCCCATCTATGTTTCAACAACCAAGTATAGTGCAAGGGAATTAAAAAGTAGAAGTATATATATTAAGTACATTGAGTGCTGTCGAAAGGTGCCTGTCTGTCTTATGAATGCCTACAGGGTAAGGCCGCTTTTATTTAAAACACAACTTACATAATTTTTCAATATAATTGTTTTGTATAGACGCAACATGTTATAATTAAACGGAAATGATTAAGTCAACAAACCTGACGGTTGTTCACTGATAATATTACATGGTTACCACACACATACGTTTTGTTGATTAGCTTGATATACTAGTACTTACATAGTACATCCAGGCTTATGGTGTTACTGTTGATAGCGCTGTACTGACACCTCCAGGTACCCTCATCATCTGTACTGACTGATGTGATATTCAAGTAGAATACCCGCGTTTGTCCACTCACACACTCACAGGTGTACCCAGGAAGAGTGATGAACTCTCTGCAGGTACCAGCATTGACAATACACGGAGCGTTTAATGATCTTCCTGTTACTGTTTGGAACGACAGTCCTCCTTGTAAGAAGCCTCTACCGGTGACAGAACAGGTAAACAGAAAGGTCTCATTCCTGACAGCAGAGGGGGACGAACCTTGTAGCCTCAATGACTGACCTGAAATTGCACAGATAGAGCTGTAAATTGTTCAGGTCATGGTTCGTGGTCCTTTTACGAAAGTCTGTATCGCAGCGAGACGTGAAACTATGAGCACATGCCTTTCGAGTGGGTTATCGATTATGCCGAATACAACACTATAATCAGAAGGAATGAAATCATACATAGTCTCATTATAACAGTGAACTAGTGGCTACAGGTATGTGACTTTTATAACGTGTTGAAAGTGGTGTAAGTAACGTTGTTCACTGCGACAGCTATTTACGTGCCCCTTACAGGGACAAAGAAATGCGGTTGAGATGCTATGTCTTGTACAACGGGTCGGGTTTATCTTGCACAATCACCCACGAATGTATTCACATTGTGATATAGACGGCTAGTTTGACACTCGATATGACCAGCTTTCAACGATATGCGTTAATCTAGTTCAGACACACGTGTTACTCTAAGGAATTATAATGCTCCTTGTAAGGAGCCACTACCGGCGACGGTACAGGTAAACTGAAGGGTCTCATTCCTGACAGCAGAGGAGGGCGAACCTTGTAGTATCACTGTTTGACCCAAAATTGCACAAGTAGGGGTATATATTGTTCAGACTATTGTTTGCATCACAGCTGGATTCGAAACGGTGAGTACATACCCTTCACGTGAGTTATCCTTAATGCTGAGTGAAGCACTATAACCAGAAGGAATGAAATCATGTATGTTTCCATAGTGACAGCAAGTCTTAATGTCTACATACATGGGACATATGTAACGTGTTGAAAGTGATGTTGGGAGCTGGGATAGCTATTTTCTTCCTTCTTCTGGGGAAAAGGAAGTAAGTTGAGTTGTCTAGGCCAGTTTTGCGTGTACAATGGGTCGGATGTGTATGACGCATTTACCCATGAACGTATATACATATCTTTATATATATATATAGATAGATAACATGCGACATGACCAGTTTAAAACGGTATGCGATAAATATTTCCAGACAATCAGTATAACCCATTCGTGTGAGATACATTTTATGTATACACGAGTCTGTGTTTGTGTGTGTGTGTGTGTGTGTGTGTGTGTGTGTGTGTGTGTGTGTGTGTGTGTGTGTGTGTGTGTGTGTGTGTGTGTGTGTGTGTGTGTGTGTCAGCTCCTGACATCTAGCAGCAGATAAGTGAATCAGTAGGAATCAGATATGCATCAAATGATCTCTTTATTGTTCATAAGAGGTCCTGCGTACCGAGCACCTGCCACAAATTTGGCGAAGTTAAGCGACGTTGGTTACTGGATCGGAAAGAACGACTAGACATACGAATCGATTATGTTCGTCAGAATAGTAAATACAAGTTGTTTGATTAATGTTACAACATTCAAGGCCTTAGTAAAGCTTTTAAAACGTGTGATGGTAGCGATGTGGAGGATATTGTTTTTTGCTGATGCAATCGCTTATTTTGACTTGCACCATGTTCAAGTGAATTTGCCAGGTAATCAATTGACTTGCCTTTGCATGTGTTTCCGATGAATACCCCTAATGGGGCAGGATATGTTAAGCTTTTCCGCGACTCAGGGAATCCTCACTGTTGAGACAGACTAACAGGCCCTAAACGGTAGTGGTTGTAACAACTCATTTAACAATGTCAATTAATGCCGCCACCATTTTGGACACAGACAAGGCCGTGGTGGCGCTTTAAAGATAACAAAATGATTAAATACAGCCTGGGAGTGTTGTTCCAAAAGTCAACCAAACATTGGCTTTTGTTCCTGTCGTAGGCGTCGTTTCATCTCCTCCCAGACATGTTCTGGAGAAACAGCCTGCCATTGCAGTACAGCAACGTTATGCTGCCTCATAATGCCTGTTTCAACACGTGCAACATATTCGAGCGAGCATTCCCTTGCACAAGGGTTGACCATGATCTCAAACGCCGTCATTCCGGTACCGTTACCAGTTTGCTGTACCCTCCCGTGAGTTGTGGTGTCTGGCGATACCATTACACGTTCTCCTGGGCGCCTGTAGACCTTTACACAACCATCAGAGCCGTCCAGATGACAGACGGACCTCAGATACTTCTAGGCGTGCCTGACGGTGACGTGGAACCAAAATTGGACGTATCGCTGGCCGTCGGGGCCGGATGTTGTGCTCCCTCAATCGGTTGCATACAGTTCTGCCTTAAGTTGGTTTCAACCAAGAAGTTTTCCGAGCTGTAAAGGTGGCAGTTTGGTATTGATTCGACAGATGCACCAAGCAAATATGGTTTCATGGTGAGTTGACGTACCACGTGTACCATCGGCCCGTTGCAAGTTCTGAGTGTTGCCCTGCTTTAGATGACGTCTAAAAAGGGATGACATGACTGTGTTTTGATGAATCTTAAAATGTCAGGAAATTTCGTTTTGCACCATTCCTGTTTGCAGCATGCCCACGGTGCTTAGACGTTGAATTTCGTCAAGATTTGGCATTGTGTATGCGGTACTTACAAAAGTGTCTTTAAGAACACCTGGTAGCTAAACAATCATTTATTGCTGTTCACATAAAAAAACACATGTGTTAGGCTGCCAACAACCATCCGAATTGTGCCCAATGAATAAACACGTGAAAAATGTGAATCACGACATTAAAATCGAGAGGATGTCTTCCTCAATATGTATTGAAAAATGCATTATTTAATTTCAGTGTGATAATAAAATTGTGTTTATTGATCTTTTTATGAATCACAGTTATCTTTTTTCCTTAGTGCATATTCCCCACGGGTGTCTTTCTCTGAGATAGGTATTATTTATATATTTTATTTAACCTTTCAATTTCAAAACAACGGGTATAAGTGGGAATTATATTGCCATGATTACTGCAACAAATTCACTGCAGATATTGACGTATAGCGAAATCACTCACCCTCTTAACTTTTGTGCATAAAATTCTGATAGTAACTGAATGGTTGACAGATATATTAACAAACTACACGTGTATGGATAAAACTGTCATCACTTTTGAACACATAATAATGGTCTAACAAAGGGGTCAAAACCGTGCTCAATTATATATTTCTCCCAATTATGAACCACCCTCCTTTTGAACCCTTCCTTTAAACTAAAAATACATCCAAATACACATACACTTAACAGTTTTGAATTCTGTTGGAAACACTCTGGTCTGTGATATCACCCCAGGTCATTGTAGGCCAAACAGAATTATTAAAACCTTTGACAACTAGGATATCTCTACTTTTGACATTTTACTAAATCTTCATTTGCGGCGTTATTTCGTGTTTGCTTTGAAATCAATTTATCGAATATTTACTCAATACCAGAACGCCGAACGGAACTTTCATCCATATTGCATAGTGTGGTCAAAATCCCGCGTGTGGCGGTTATGTGACCCCTATTACATCACATTAAATTCAAAGGTGCGTCGGTGAAAATACAAAGATTTATCCCAAAAGAATTTCCACACCAAAACAAATAGTAAACGTATAATGAGGGGCAAAAGAAACTATACCTTTTCATCGATTGTATCACATGTTTGATTTTCAATTTGAAATATTCCTATGTTAGCATCATAATATAAAAATGAATCATATGTTTCATTTTCAATTGAAAATATCCTATGTTAACACCATTATATAGAAAATAACTGTACTGGCGCTTATTCGGCACTCAAAATACATTTCCAAGTGGTTTAATTTTTTAATGATATAATTTGAATTAAAAACTTTCAAGAAATGAAAAAGTGTTTTGTCATAATACACAGCTGCTGATAGGTGTCTTAGACATTTAATCTTTGAAAATCAATAAATTTGCTTTTTTCGGCACAAATTTACCATATTAAAAACATGGTAGGGGACATGTGGTTGCAAATTCTATCCTTATCCAAGGGTTCTTTGAAAAACAAAGTCGGTATACTTTCTTTTGCCCCTCAGTTTATATTACAATTTGCTGAGTTCGTTGTGAGGCGGTCAGGCTCTCGGACATTATAAACATAGGCAAGAATCCATCAGAGTGAAACACATGGAATCACTCTCGTTAATGTTGAAATCCCGATGGTTAAACATTAGTTTTAGAATATTAAACACAAAAGTACTGTGCAACGGATGTTAAGTCTTCACTTATAGTAGGATCAAAAGTAAAAAGGTGGTTTTTAATGCAAGTAGTTTTTTTCAGTAATTAAAATAGCGAGAAACATAGCAGTTGACAGACAGGAAGAATATGTGTGTCCTCTTTGAAATAGCGGATTGCAATAGATAAGAGAGACCAATAATGACAACTATATTTTTCAGTACTCCCTGAACACTTTGATAAAAATGTCTATGTCTCATTTAATAGCTATGCATCTATTACGTGTCCTGTTGGTGAAAGAGTAATATTTTGTTGATAAAGAAGTGACGGAAATAACGTGCATGTTATGTTGTTAAATCCATGTATTTATTTCAATACTGTTGAATACTTTGGGGATTCGATTGTTTTACAAGGACTAGAGTGAAATAAGATATTTGTAATTTGGACACAAGCTTTTTTTGCATTTTGACGCACAGAGAACTCCAATTTTCAAATTTCCTAGAAACACACATTTCTTTTACAACTAATATTTCACCCTGAAAGACCTGGTTGAGTCAATTTTTATGATAGACATTCAGATAAATGTGACACGTTGCTTGTCGACATGAAGGATTTTCACCAGTAGATCTTCAATCACATAAACATCATGGATGTAAATAGTTCGTAAATAATGTGTAGTGTCTCTTTTCCTTTAATGATGCGTTGGAGCCTAGAATTTTACACTAAAAGTCAAAATGTAAAAAAATACGGCTTTACCTTCCTGTTAAATTGAACTAAGTGTGTTTCACAACTGGCTTGTGTGGTGCAGCGCCACAACGTTCTTAAATGTCACATCACGGTACGTCTTTGAAATGTCACTTAAGGATATAAATTGAGGGTGAAATGTTGATTAAATTATACCGTTTTTTTCATAATTGAACGACGAATCCATATTTTGCCAATTATGTAAAATATTTAAGATACTATTCATGTTACGTTTTTGCAAAACTGTCAGAGAAATTCCCCTACATGTCTCTATGGTTAAGTTCGAATGTTAATAAGCATGCCTATCGCAATGGATATCAACCCTTTCGTTCCTCAACTACACAGTCGTCTAACCCGTGGTGTGTCCGCAGCGTCCCATTTCCTGAGCCTACTTGACAAATTAAGCATTTAAATCCTTTATGAACGGATCTGAATACTTGACGGACTGACGCTACAACCCTAAACATCGTGATTGGGGGAAGTTTAAGTTTGAGGTGTGGGAGGGTGTGTGGGGTGGGGTGTTGTTTAGGCAGGGGCACGGGTTTTGGGTAGGGAAGAAACACTAATAGTTTTGACAATGTTATTATTGAAACTGGAGCAGTTTACTGATTTATATTTTCAGCCATCTAGACTACATGGACCTCGATGTTTGAAAAAAACAACTTCATAGATAACCATGTGTTTGGTAAGACATCCAGGTCAACAGTTCTGCCGTGAGGTAAATGAAGAGACTCCCCTGAACGCAGCATGCTTCTGTTCTTGCACGTTGCTAACGACCCGCCATGAAGCCGATACGGGGAGGTGATAGGGTCCGTTTCATAAAAGTAGCAAACGGTTATAGGGACTGTTTCATATAAGTAGCAGAAGGTCATACGGTCGTTTCCTATCGGCAGCAGACAGCCTCCGTGGTATAGTGGTAGAGCGTCCGCCGGAGAGCTTCATACCAAAAGACGCTAAAGATGGTACTTGTTGTTAACCTGCCGGAATTAAGGAGCTAAAAAA